TCTCCTAAGAATTTGGAGTCTACTTACGTGTTCTACAGAGCATACTCTACAGCTGCTGACATATCATATTTTGGTTAGTACTAACTTATAGTACTGGTACAGTACTTGAATAGCCTATTTATGAAGTATTGATAAGTGAATCAAAAGAGTTTTACTGCAAACAAGTGTTAACACTACAAATAATGAGTACGTAAAAAGCAGCTTTCAAACAAAAACAGGTTGGGTTTCCAGAATGCTCAGCATGAGTCTTAACTCTGCTCTGGTCATATCTACAGGAAAACAAAATCCACAGTGTATCTTATTTTAATCCTCTCTGCTCCCAAAGTTAAACCTAACCAGCATTCTCTCCTGAGACACTTTATATATCTTCTAAATCTAGCTATTGCAGTTAACATACAGGATCCAGTTTTCTTTGCTTCTTGCATAGAAAGATATTACATTGGTTTTGATGGAAACACTACTGCTAGCATTTTTTTTTGTATTACTGAAACACTGAATACTTTTTTGTAGCATTTAATATTATTTACTTTTTATTACTTATGAGTTTGATGTTGAAATCTCTCTTTAAATCACACTGTGTCTAGCAGTAGATCACTGAACAGAAACAGGTCACCTTACCTCCGGAAAACTTGCATTTTTGGTACAGTGCCCCACTACCTACCATATACACATTTACTTCAGAACTGAATGCACATAGCCAAAGGCAAGGAAATTAAATTCTCCTAGTTACTGAGATGATCCTGAGTATTAATTTTCTCTAAAACATCAGAACAGGTTCAACAAAAGAAAAGAATAACCGATGGGTATTAGCTTTTTTGATGTAAAGAGAAATATGCAACAGCACCCTTGGAAAGCAACAAATGTGAAATTCCATGATTTATAACCAAATCAATTACTTATCAATTTGTGTGATTTGACAATCATATTTCATTCATTGAAAACAAAAAACACTTCCCTACTAAACACGTGCAAGTCATTTTAAAAAATTGTATACATACTGATTTAAGAAGAAAAGAAAATTACGATACAGATTTCTGTCAAAAAAACCTACATTTTCCTCTCATACAACTTGTTACTGTAACAAAATAGAAGATTTTTATGTCATTTTTTCTTAACCTTGCTAGCCCTTTAAATCAAAAGAAAATTAAGCCACCCGACGTAAGATAAAAGTTCCCAGGGTTATTCTGGTGCTTAGTAAAATACCCCACTATACAGGGGAAGGAGATTAAAAATATCAGTAGGCCCTCACTCCCAAGACAGTCTTAGGTTCGCCACAGAAAATAAGATGCTCTCAGAATTTCTTCAGAATTTAATAATCACTAAAAAGTGTTTCTGAACTTTTCTATTAAAGCAATTAAAAAGAACACACACAGAACAGAGATGGAAAATGGTCTTTAAGAGTGTGCCTGCAGATACCAGAATTCATATATTTTACAGATGCAACAACAAAATGAAAGCCAGTCTCTGACTAGTTTTATAACTGGCATTCAAGATCCTATAGGCTATCATCTGCCAAATTTCAGACTGCCATCGCAATTAAGAGCTATAAGAAACAGGCAGATTCACAGGTACCATTAACTCAAAGATGCTGAAGTAGGCATGTAGTGTAAAGATAGGCTTCCCAAGCTGACAACTTGCTATGCAACAGCAAGTAAAAGGATAAGCATACAATGGAACATGTTCGTTCGTGTGACTAAGCCACCAAACCCTTTTAATCACAGTTTATACTACCACCACTTTTTATTCAGCAAAACTGTGACTACATTCAACCTTTTGCCAACACAGCCTTGACAAAGAGGTATGACACGATCTTTGATATTACTATACTCACAAAAATTTACAAGCATGAACACTTAGGCTACAAAAACTCCTCCCATGTTATATGGGCAGGAACATAGACAGGAAACTGGCAAGAACATGAGTACAGAGCAGAACTTTTCCTGCCTTCTAGATGCAAAGTTTAAGATTTTGGAAATACTAACCAAGAAGCTGGAATTCCAAATAAGGATTCAGTGTCATCCTCTCTGTTGGAATAACAACATCTTTTTATCTGTTCATTAACTGATTCCATATCATGTCTCCATTTGGAACTCACACTTCTAGCTGAGCACCCGCGGAATTTTTTAAACAGCCATAAATTTAATGAATAAGAGCTCCAAACAAGTGTTTATTCATTTTCAAAAATGAGGTAGAACAATAGTTATTCCTTTAGATACAAGTTTTTACTTAAAACTTAACATAAATTAAATTTCTAAGCTATTCCAGAATTAATAGTTTTATTTGGAAAAATAAAAGATGTGCTATTTCAAAACTGCAAATTATGCAGAAGAAATTAATTCCAGGTCATACAGTTCCTCTACAACTATTTTTCTTCCTCATTTTGGATCTGTTTCTACTTGCAACATTCTTCTGGCTTATTAAAGGTTTATAATTGAGACAGAGATAAAAATGCCTATTACAAAGAGCAACAGTTATTAACTGCTGTGAAAATAAACTGGCTTGTGTGTAACTTATGGAAAGCAACAGATGGCCAAGTAGGGGATGCTGAAACAATGACCATGACAGGTTTTGTTGCTCACTTTGCTTCTCTACCCCAAAGAATATAATCAACAGAAACTGCAAGCGTTTCTCAAGTAATATCTAACTGCGCAGAGGAATTTGTCCTGGGGGAAAAAAAAAAAAAAAAAAAAAAAAAAAAAAACAC